TAAAAACAAGTCAATTCATATGTTGTAATTATATTTAAATGTTTCATCAGCCCAAAGCTTACTGGCATTAATGGCTCATAAAATACATAAAACGGAAGAAAATTGATGTTTAGAATAAATTTGATGATATATTTCGGCATTAACCATGCGTTTTTAAGTATTCAAAAAGCTGGTTAGATTAAAATACAACAATAAATGTATATGATTATAAACAAGTTGGTGACTCGTTAGATTAAATGAAGGAATAAATTAGATAAAGCGTCCAGGTTAGATTAGAAACACGAATGTATAATCAAAAATAATTTTAATAACTGTTACTACAAGAGTACGATATAAGACTTTCATATGAGTTGAGAATAGATAAAAGGATGCAATTTCGCTAGAAATGCATTTAAAGCCGACAAAAAAATTAACAAAATAAATTCATCATAAACTATCAAATAGTTAACCAAGGAATCTAACAATATATCCCTTAATTGTGAGGCGAATAATAATAGACATGGAATGATTATAACAGACAAGATCAAGATAATGTGATGCCCACCCTTAGTTGCTGGCTAAATATTGAAAAGTAATGCTCAAGTTGGGCTTCACGAAGGAATTCATAGAGATCCTTGCTGTCCGATCCACTTTCTAGCGAGAATTCAGGGAGGAGGCAGTGACCAGTGAGTCTCGAAGAGTGTCTTCCAACTAGTGTCGATGAATTCGATGGAACAAAACCCTTGGATGAAAAGCGAGAACTATTAAGCGAGATGCTCAAGTTCTCACCGTTAGGCGATGGCATCATAAATAAGGAAGAAGGGTGAGGAACAATATTGGATCTATCCGAAGAAATACTCATGACGAGGTTGATTAAATTTTAATGCACGAAGATCAGCAAAAAAATTGAATTATGCAAGAGCCTTAGAGCCTAGGTCGTATGGAAGCTTATTAACCATTTCTTTATTAGCACGAGCAGCTGCTGAGGGTAAACAAGACTGAGGAGAAGGGTCAAGGACACAGAGGAGGCCTCAATACGACCGCGACTCACATGCATGCAGCTAAAACTTATGGAAGAGTAAATTTTCATATATTGTAAGAATACAATATTTAGTAAATTAATGCTAAAATAGACGAGTTAATATAATTGTATTGAACGTCAGTGATGACAATCAAAAAAGAATTTGCTTTGGATTGTAAAATTAAGCCAAAAATGGATTTAAATAAAAACTTGTGATAAGCCTTAAAATAAAACCAAAAAGAAGATTATAAAAAACCTTACTTCAATAAAGTATTACTGTCTATAGCCACCTTACATAAATCTGGAAATTAAGTTATTCTAATTAATGATTCTAGGCAGAAGCATATTTTGTACGAAGTTAACCTATTTGCTAAGATTCAAATAAATTAATTGAGGGATAGGTTAAGACGGAATAAAAATGGTCACAAAAGTTTAATTACTTTCAATTTTGTAATGAATGATTATGCAGAGTGAGATTTTGAAGAAACGTACATGGAAGATGAGTTCAGAATAGAAAGAAATGAATTTAAGGAATGCTATTTTTAATATAGACCTTGGAGAGGCTGGGGAAACTGATCGAAGTTATAAGCTTGCCTTAAGCCCCACTCTTAAACTAGTCCAGCTTGGGAAGCCTCATCATTCGGTTCATATAGATTCTATTAAGATCTAAATTATTCATTCTAATTTAAAATGAGGATTTGCTACGCACACATCTCGTGAATAGCCCTTATTCTTGACACCAATTTTTAAATTATATCTTTATGTCTTATCCGTTTACTTATGGGGCTTAATACATTCTACCATAAAGTGATTATTCCTACTACAAAACCTCATACAAGGAAAGTAATGTATGGATTATACAACATGCTTATTATGTGATTGTTAAAGTTTTGCTGCTTACTTTCAAATGTCTTAAAGCATTGCATATCTTATCATCATACACAGGCCTTTGGACAAGCTTATAGCTTTCTTAGAACGGTTTCAAAGATTGATATTTTCAAAGTTCATATCAAAGCTAGACTGTAAAAGCAAACAGAAAAACTTCAGAAGTATCGGATTTATATCGGATTTGAAATTCTCGTAGACTAAAAATTCGTAAAATGAAAGCGCCTAGATACAATACTGAAGGGATTCACAAAAATACGATATACTAGTAAATTTAAAAAAGGACGCTAATTCAAACAAGCAAAAGGAATTAAAGTAAATCAAAAAGACTTTATTACTATCAACTGAGCATTTGAAAGAAACAGTAGGATCTTTGTTTGTACTCTATGCAAGTTAATTTTTTGCTAAAACAACTAGCTTGTTT